CTAAGTCCAAGTAACCCTACACCCTATTACACAATTATTAAACATTTATGAAAATTGTTTGTTAAATTCGGATTTTGCATTTGGGAATTGAGATATTGTTTGCATTTTCATTTGGCATATTGTTTGCTAAATTGGCTTAGTATTGTGTTTTTGTTTTAATTAACTTTTTTTTTCCATAAATCTTTTTTCCCAATTTGACAGTTGGATCTCTAAAAAATTATTTATTTTTGTGGTTATTAACATCCGTACCGAGATAAGAACCAAGTCAAACTGAACCAACTTACATGGTCATGGTGCAGTTATGGTATGACCAAAAAATTGGTGGTTCGGTAATGATTTTAGCTCACCCGACCCGAACCGTTGCCAACCCTACTTGCTGAGGTCGCATGAGACACTATGACCACGTTATTAGTTGAATCTACTTTAACAATGAATGAGATTTCAAATTCTTTGTTAGAGACAACCAACATTACCTAGTCAAGTGGTACTTTGAATGGTAATCAAGTGCTCTTAACAAAGTCTGAAATGAATAGTAGATGTGAATCTTGGGAAGGAATAATGGTAAGAGGAATCGTTCTTAATCTCATTCTAGGGGAGATGTGGAAGATGTGGAGTGTTACTATTGCCATAAGAAGGGACACATTAGAAAAAATTGTGAGGAATTGACAAAGCATCTTGAAGCGAAGGGGAATCGTACGTCTCAAGAGACATCAGATGATACAAACGTAGTTGATTGATCATATTGTTAATGATTTCTATAGTATCACATATTATGATTTTTCAAGTAACTTCAAGATTTTGGATATGTGCATCATTTGTTCCCACATAAGGAATGTGATGCATACTGTGTTACGATGGCTGATAATCACAAACATTATGAGTATTTTGCATGTAATAGTATGATGAATGCAAAGAAAAATTCTGTATCAATAATGAGAGGCAAACATGTTGATGATTTGTATAAGCTAACGAGGAAAACAATTTCAAGAGGAGTTTTCTCGTTGGAGTTGCACCGAGGAGAATATTCTACTATTGCTAAAGGTAGTGAAGGGCCCAAGAAAGGTTAATTATGTGGCTAACATCAATAAGCATGAAGATCAAAGTTCAAGAACGTCAAACAGTAAAGTTATGTTCAATAAGTCATTGAATCCGATTCATGTCTACTACAATTGATTGAGGGATGGTGGCACCTACTAGTGAAAGAGTGTGAAGATGGCTGCGAAAACTGCCGTGAATTGAAGATTTTGATTCAAGGTAGAGATTGTTGTGGTTGACTCAAAATTATACCTTTTGAAGTTCTGGATCCAAGATTGTAATTTCTCTAAAGCAGTAATACCAATCCAACAAGGGAATGCATATGCACATGCGGAAATACGAGAACATATCGTGGCAGACAATAAAGGGAACTAAAAGATATTTTGGCTAGGTTTAACAGGAATTGTGGGGCGGAGGCCCTTGTCTCACTCTTTGGAGTTGTGCTCGGATTACGGGCCCCCTTGAGACCCAAAGTTATGGATTGACGCACAAGGAAAAGACCAAAATTGCGGACAGGGAGCAGCCGTTGAATTAGTACAGATAAATTTGGCTTTAGTGAGAGAAAAGAAAACTAGAAATTAGAGAAATCGGTAGTACTGTGCAGTGAGAAAATCGTGAGATTGGAGAAAATATTGTACAGTTGTGGTTTTTTCAGTTAGTAAAGTATCTTCTCCTGTAGTCCTTAGTGGTTTGTAAACCACGTTAAATTTGTGTTTTCTTTTTCTATTCCGTTTTTGTGTTTTTCGTTTACGCCGCACGTTTGGTAGAAATTTTTTCCCAAGATATGGAAGATGAAGAATTAATAAATACAAGTACTTTTGTATTACAAACTGTCCTCGAAATTGATGCCTCGGATGTTTCAATAAAATGAATATAATTTTGGAATAGAAGAGAAAGGCATTGTGGATTAATTTCCTGGTGAATAATCGTCTAAGATTCTTTGCCTAAGGTTTTGAAATTGATATGTCGAATGTTTTGAATGAAACGGGCCGTGGTTTTGGTATGAAAAAGGCTTCGAGGAGAACATTGTGGATTCGATTGTGAGACAAGATTTTCTATCTTCAAACAACCAATTGGTCAATATTAGGCTGTTGTCTGGTAGGTAGATTGGTGGAAATAATTCATCTTTTTCCGGAGAATTTAGCAATTTTTATGACATTTGTTCATTAGAGTAAGACTATTTTTCTACTGGTGGTTATATTCACACAACTTTTTTTTTCTTACACCATATGTTAATTGCACTTAAGATATTTAATCTTTGCTCATTATATTACTTTTGTTCCTAACGATTTTTCATGTGATTCTTATCTTCAAACTTTCCATTAGTTTATACATTTTGTATTTAATAACCTTTTATGTCCAAAAGTCCATTTTTATGGCTATAACAACTTAATGTTTTCATCATATTTTCAAAAATTAAAAACCACGAAAAAAATATTTTTTTTCCACTTTTCAAAGTATGAAAACAAAATATTTCGATATAAATCATCATCAAGGACGAGACGTCCTAATTAATGGAAGGTTTGAAGATAAGAATTTGATGAAAAAAATGTTGAGAAAATAATTGCTACCACGATCAATTATTAAGGAACTTAACTGCAATTAAAATATAATATATCAAATAAAATTTGTGGTGACAATATAACGATTATTTTCTATATATGCTTTTCCAATTTTCCAATTTCAAGTGAGTATCAAAATTGGATTGCAGATATATTTAATGTTTTTGCCTATATAATGGTTTATCCAATGTCTTTTTTTAACTATTAAAAGAAATGTTTATGGTTTATTAGGAACACTAAATTTACAAATATTGAAACGTTCTTCATTCTTTCAATAAGGAAAACTAATATTTTAAAAAAAAAATCTTTTTTAAAATAAAAAGTAATTAAGGTGCATAACAAATTAATTTTAACTAGTATTTTATAAGTTAAGACTAAACTCATGCATAATCGTGTACAATTTAGTTTAACCTATCATAGATATCGAACATGATGTATGTATTTATATTGAATAATTCTTAGGGTACATTGGGAGGGACATAAGGGTGTCAAAATAGACACTCACCCCCCCCCCCCAATTGGAGCGCAAGAATAACCCATTTATATTTGTGTGCGCGCATGATTAGCTTTAAAATCACTTGTAAGTAGATAATTTATCTTGTTAGTTAAAGTTGAAAATTAATAAATTATTTATTTTGAAGGTAATTTTTAATTAATCCTGACAATATAAGTAATTCTTTTATTTATAGGTAATAAAAAGGTAAATATACGAAAGAGTAATAAGTTTTAACATAATTTATGCTCAGGAAAACATGCTTTAACAATTATCTTGTTCTAGAATTATTAGACTCATGTGATTCCTTCACTCTCAGTATTTTGGGAAAAAATGGTATATTTGATGATCATTCTCATATATATATCTCTATCCATTCTCTCTCCTGCATAGGTCATGAAAGATACTTTACATATATTAATTTCCAAGTAAATTAATCAAAGTAGAGTAGAACTTGTCTAAATGCATGAATGTATAGTAGTTGATTATGAAAACAGTTGGAATATGGTGAAATGACATATATAAAAAGATTGAAAATCAAAGGAAACTAATTGCTACATATAGGTCTATAGTTTCGCAAAAAAATAAAATAAACAAAAGAAAAAATGATGACTCCATCTTTGTATTTGATATACAATAAGTAGTGAATAATACAATAGATAACTTTTTCTTTTTTTTTTTAATACGATTTTATTCAGTTTATCGGACTACCATTAAACATCATACTTGAAGTCCCTGTTGGATAAAGTGTTTATTTATTTATTTGAGATTATAAGTTAGTTAAACTTTTGTTATACACGGGCAAACTTTATAAATCGGTGATATTAAACTTAAACCCAATAATTTTGTTTGATTTGAATCAAGATTAGATTATCTTATTTTTGAAGTATAAAATTTTTTGAATAAAAAGAAGTTATTTATTTATATTTTATCTTTAATTTTCTTAACTAGGTCAAACAATTATACCCATTTCGTAATTCAAACCAATTATATTAAATTAACATTAACTTTATTAATCAATTGAAAATTGAATGGTGGATAATTAATTAGAAAATTCATTACCAAATAAATATTTCTCAACTTATTTTGTTGATTATAAATGAGATTAATACTAATTGCATATATAATTTCAAATATGCATCACTGAGGGAGATATAAGATTTTTCAGAAGTTTATATGATTGTTCGAGGTAAATGTTTGCTCGATCGTACTTAAGGGTTACTTGTGGTTAGATCATCGAGTTTGAAATACATGAATGTTCGGCACCAAAATGAAGCCAATATAACTAAAGTGAACAATTTTATAAATAGCTAGAAATAGTTGTGAATTAGTGAATAATATTTGTAGATCCCACGAAATATGTAAATAAAATATAAGTTGACAGAATATAACATTTATAAATAATAGACAAACATGAGTTTAGTCAACATATGGTATACTCATGTTAACTTGTATTTATCCCTTCTGGTCATCTACATGTATACCAATCACGTATACCTTAAAACTAGCTTAAGGGTGTGCTATGGAATCCTTCAAGAAGCAAGTCGGAAACTCGACGTATGATGATGATAAAGATGACCATGTGAATGAAGTGTAATTAGTTATTTTTTCATTATAAAAATGTTTGGCCTAACTTTGCTGATTATTCATCCCAAAGGATAATCACAAAAAGTAAAACCAAAACTAGCAAAACTTTTTCTCTCTCTCGCTTTGTTTTATCCAAGTCGCCAATGAATTTAGCCAACAAGAAGAGTGGGGGAAATCAATATAAAACACGCACAGAAACACACTGGGACACTGGTACTATGAATCTAGCCAAACTTTGACATTACGGTTGAGCTTTGTAAGATGACGTGTCAGAAGACTCGTAACGCCAAGTCATTCCCCCCCCCCCCCCCCCCCCCCCATTTATGAAATCAATTCACTACGCATTCACATGCCCTGAGGTTGTTTCAGTTCAGTTGATGGATGAAGATGAAGATGTACAGGACAAAGCAAAGGGTAGCATTTTTGAGGTGAAAAGTATTGAAAATCAAAAACCATTGGAGAATTTGATGTTCAGGAATTATAGTTTAAGACGGATTGTTTTAATGGTTTTGTTGACAGTATCACTCTTGGTGTTGCCACTGGTTCTGCCGCCACTTCCTCCGCCACCGCCAATTCTTCTTCTTGTCCCAGTTTTGATCATGGTTTTGCTGATTTTATTGGCCTTTTCACCTTCAAAATTGCCCAATATTCATGTCCATCCTGTGTGATAAAATCTGAGAAAATCCCAGCGGAAAATTCACGTAGGAGTCTAGATCGAGTCACGGTCTCTTATCTAATCCCACGCTTCGTTCTACTTCTATCACCGTTATCAGTGAGACATTTCAACTAATATACTGTGGAAGAATGAAATCTATTTTCTCGATTCTTATGTTTTCAGGTCGATTTGTCTGCAAATCATGCAAGTGATGCTTCTAACTACACCGCTTTGATCAATTTATTTTGATGCATTGTGTATGATATTATATTGTAATTTTCTTCATCATTGTTTGTTATAGTTTATTGCAGTATGATTTAATTGATTGAGATTGTGAGTTTGGTTAGACTATATTACGTCATATTACTACTTTTTTTTTTCTTGCGCAAAATATTGGAAACACTATTTGAACTCAAAACGTTTTCTTTTTTTGTGAAGTAAATAAAATGATTTGAACGGTAAAGCAATTGAAATTTGATATTTGAATTTTCTTGGAAGTTATAGGGGTATTATCTTATTATTTTCACATTGAAATTATCATTTTGTTGCGTGAATTAAGGGGTTGTTTTACAAAGATTTGATAAAAGTATCAACAAATTTTGATTAAAATTCATGAAATATGTAATTGAAAAGTTGTGGGATTCATAAAATGTATAGTTATAATTAAAGTTTTGACAAGTTCAACATTTTGATAATATTTTAGTAAAGTATCAAATAATCACTAATATATCCTTAACAAAATTGTAATGCTAAGATGAAGTTTACTAACAAGAAGTCAAGAATGCTTAAATTTCACCCAATGATCTAATAAGGAAAATTTGATGAAAATACTTTTTCAAATTAGTCCAAAGACAGGACTTCAATTCTTCAAAAACTTTCTGCTCCTATAAATTAATGACGCATGGTCCCTTTTTTAGAATTTTCGGTAAACAAAATTTCAAAAAAAAAAATGTAGGTTCATATAAAAGAAAACAGATTTGTATTAGTGTTTTCTTTTCTTTTTCGGGAACTTGAGGTTTGCAGTGTTTTTTTTCTTTTTTTTTCTCCAAGAAAAGAAATTAGGGTTTATCTGTGGGTTGCAGATTCATCTGTATTTGGACCACCGCCCACCGCCTTTATACGGTGGAGGGTCAGCACCAGCCACCGCAAGTTTTTACTCCCTCTACTATTATAAATGTCCTATATAGATAGTATTTTGACAACCATTAGATTCCAACTGGTATGTCCGCTTTGGAGTTGGCACATATTATGGTTGTCACATGCATGTACGACGTACGGGTACATAATCTAATGTGTATTTAGGTTTCTACTCAAGTGAGAGAGACGTGAAAAAAATTAAAGAGTTCGGTACTAAAAAAGAGCTCTTCACTTACGAATTCGTTGGTAATTAGAAACGAATTATCTGTTAGTAAAATTTATTCACTTTCAATTACGATAATCAGCAACGAATTTTTCGTTGATAACAATGATATTTTTTTACCAACGAATATTTCGTGCATTATGTAACCGTTTAACATTTGAATCTTTATATGTAGGTGACATATCGAATATACCAACGGATTGCATCCGTTGGTAATTAGAAACAGATTATCAGTTGGTAAAAGTAATTCATGTTCAATTACGATAATAAGCAACGAAATTTCCATTGGTAATGATGATATATCTTTACTAACGAATATCCCGTGCCTCATATAATCGTTTAACATTTGGATCTTTCACATACGGATATTCCGTTGATAATTAGAAGTATCATCGAAGTACACCACAAAAAACGACCCAATAAAAGGATGGAGAATCTAGTTTATCATCCTCATGAAGGTACTTGGAGCATTTGAAAGTCCAAATAGCATCACCAACCAATCATAAAGTCCATCCTTACTCTTGAAAGTAGTCTTCCATTCATCCCCAGGCTTAATACGGATCTAGGGATAACCACTGCTAAGATCTATTTTTGAGAAGACCTTAGAACCCTCAAGCATATCTATCATATCCTCCAATCGTGGAATGGAAAACCTGTACTTCACTGTTATCTTGTTGATTGCACGGCTATCAACACACATACGCTACATTCTATCCTTCTTTAGCACTAGAAGAACATGTACTACACACGATCTCATACTTTCTCTTATGAACCCTTTTCTCAACAGCTTCTCAATTTGCTCCCTTAGAATCTCATTCTTCTTTGGACTCATTCTATAATGAGGCAAATTTGAAAGGCTAGCTCCAAGTACCAAATCAATCTGGTGTTGAATATTCCTCATAGGAGGTAACTCATTCGGCAAATCATCGAAAACCAAGTCTTCAAATTCCATCAATATTTATTGTATCTTAGGAGGAACACCCTCATCTTCTTTATTTACCGCAAAAAGCCCCTTAACTACAACTGGATAGAAGTAATCAGATTCTCTTACAGACTCTGTAATTTCCTTCTCATTATTGGTAAGGGTAAGGAAACTCTCAGTTCGTTGATGAATAGACATCTCCGCCTGTGGGAGAGGAACCATAGCAATCTTATGACTACCCCATGAAAAGAGTACTATATTATCACGTACTTTGAGAGTTGAATCCACGTCAAACTGCCATGGACGACCTAATAGGATATGGCAAGCATCCATATCTATGACATCACATATAATTTCACCCTTATAATGCTTACCAATGGAAACAGGTACTTTGCAAATTTCAGCAACTTGAACAGAAGGACCTGTCTTTACCCAACCAAATGAATATGATTTAGGATGGCTCTCAAATGGTAGTTTCAACAAATTCACCAACTTCTTTGACACAAAGTTTTTACAACTTCCATTGTCCAAAATCACTTCACACACTTTATTCTTGATAGAACAAAGTGAATGGAAGATGCCATGATGTTGTCCCTCCTCCTTAGGTGATAAAAGAATTCGTTGCAGTACCAAAGTGAGTCTTTCTACTCCTTCCTCCACAGCAAACTCTACTTCCGTGTACTCATCTTCTACTTCAGTATCTTTTTCCTCATCCATTGCCTCTGATTCCACCAAATTGCCTGCTTCGTCTCAGGACAGTTATAGGAACGATACCCAGGCTTTTGGCATCTATAGCAAATTTCTCCCGTGGGCTTAGCATACGGATTTGCATTATGAGGTGTGTCTTGAGTCTGACTTCCATTCCCAAACTGACTACTGTTGTCAACCTTACTCCTGTTAAAATTGACTGGGGCTTGTTATGGGGCCTTTCCTTTGTCTAAAGGGATGGATGATGATGATTTGACAGGTAATGATTACTTATAAAAAACCATCATCTTATTAGCTTCTATCATCTCCGCTTTAATTACCATGTTAATGGCTTCCTGCAATGTTCAAATATTCTTCATCCCAATTGTATCTTGAATGACCACCTTCAAATCACTGGTATACCTGGCTACCTTTTGATTTTAGATTCTAACCGATTAGTCCATTCCGCCAATTGCTTAAATTCATTGGTGTAGTCCAACACTGTACGATTCCCCAATGTGCATCCAGGTACATACGATATAAAATATGTTCATAATCTGCAAGTAAAAATCGATCCATCAAAGACTGCTTCATCTTTCTTCAAATTTGATTCTGACTCTTTCCCTGTCTCCTTCGAGTATTCTGTAATTGATCTCACCGTACTGTTGTTGTAGATTTCAAACGGAATGCCAACATTTTAACCATCTTGTCCTTTGAAACATTCATAATTTCAAAGAATCTCCCAACTTCTACCAACCAATCCAAAAAGACCTTGATCTTCATGTTTCCAAAGAACGGAGGAATGTCTGCTTTAATCCGATAATCATCAAAGTTATTTCAATTTTGACGATTAGGATGATGCAGCGGTGTTTTGAACTCCTCCCCCGACTCTGATTCATTGTCTTCTACTACATGCCTCCTATTATTTTATCTCCGAACTACAAGTTCAGCTATTCGTTCATTGTTGATTGCCCCCTGTTCATTCATCCTATTGTTTCCAACACCCTGTAGAAGTAATTGACGAATTTCTTCAATCTGAATAATGAGATTGTCAATTCGTTCGTTAAGTCGTCGACTTGTTGCATCTAAATCTACTCTAGTAAATGGTACGTCACCCATATTTATGAATCAATGATATAGAGATAGAAAAGCTGACTCTGATACCACTTGACGCAGCAAAAGAAATGAATTCAAACGAAAACCTTAAAATCACGAAATTTGGAATTCGCCAAATTAAAGAGAAAATAAATTTCACGAATTTTGTTAAATGAATGATAAAATAAAATAAAATAAAATAAAAAAGAAGAACTAACCCCTTATTTATAAGGATTTACATGGAAACATAGTTTAAAACAATTAAAAGTAATGAAAATAAAGTTTAAATAAGCTAGAATTGCAAAAAAAAAAAAAAACACCCAAATAAATGAATTGACAAAAATAGCGCTAAAATTTTAAAAATCAGTTTTCGAGTTCTAAACGAACTTGAATGACTGATATTCATCGTACACCACGACGTAGAGGTGAGTATTATTCCTCTTGTCATTCTCTTTCCAAAATGATTTTATGGGCTCGATCTGAAATTAAGATGTTCTATTTCTACTAGTACTATTTTTCCAATATACCCATTATATCTTATATCCTTAACTCCCCATTTTTATGGCATGATTCTTATTCAACTTTCCTTTAACATTGATTAATACGATTTTACCAGTAATTAAAGCATGATTAATTATCTGCCTTACCTTTTTATATAGACACTAGTTTTCCACCCGTGTAATGCACTGGCTATTTCATTTTTTAAGTAATATCAAAGTGTCAAAATATATATTCATTTCTCTCAATAAATGTACAAATTTGATTAATTGTTTAAAATGATAAATGGAAATGTAATTTTCATATATGACACAATTTTGGCATTAAAATTTTTTTTAAGTTTATTAGGAAATTTTCTAAATGGCATCAAAATTTTTATTAGATTATTTAAAAAATTAATTGATCGAGAGGAAAAAGTAACAATAAGAAAAAAATTCCTAAAAATGATCGAATTTTTTTTATATATAAAATTTTTCAGATGTTAAAATAATCAAGATAAAAAATTGGTTGGCCTCAATTTTGCGTTTCTATAATTGAAATGTATTTTCTGGAGATATGATAAACGTTCTCTTGATAAATGGATTACAAATCCAAATTACTGGAGCTCATAATTTATATATCAAATATTATTTTAGTCTGAGTGGTTATTTTACATATAAAGGATGTATTTGATGATAAATATATTCAATATAATTAAA